CGACTGACCTAAGTCGATAAAAAAAAAAAAAATAGGTAGCAACTGTTCCTTCGCCAAGCGCTCGGCACTTTGAAGTGAGAGTTGCGGGTCCTTCGGATCAGACCTTAAAAACCGAGGTCCCGTGTCACGGCAGGCAATATTGGCACGATAAAGATCCCTCAATGCTCAGTGGTAAAATGGTGAAATGCTGTTCATTTTTTTATTTGATATTTGGGGATAACGAATAGTATTCAAGCTCAAAATCCATTAAAGTAATATAAATCGGGAGCAGAGCAAACATGGACCTCCAAAAACATCAGAGGGTGGGCTCAGGTGCCATCGAGGGGTAAGCATTCCTTGCCGACCGGTCACACCTGCCGTGTGCTCCTTGTCATGATCGGTAAAAAACAAAAATCCGTAGAGATTTCAGTGTGTAAATGATGGCCTAACAATTAGTACGAAAAATGTCAGTCAGCATTTGACTTAATGATAGGTTGTATTTGCTGACAAGGTCATTGTATCGACCATAAAACTTGCGAAATGATGACTTAAAACGAGGCTGCTAATATCGCTGTTTCATCAACTTGTTTGTCAATAGCATGCCTCGTTTTAGAAATTGTTCATACGTAGAGTATGCTCTTACATATGTTTCGTGAAACCAAGTGCATACGGATTGAACACATGGATATGGACTGCAATGTTCACTCGATCTTTTTAACAGATGTTGATTTTTTTTTTTGGGGGGGGGGGGGGTGTTTAAACTCGTGTGATATGAATTTAAAATTTTCGGTCGCCCTGTTTTCATTATAACATTGTTTGAGGCTTGTCTCCTAGAAGCTCTTGAGTAAGACCTTTAAAGTTGTAATGTATAACTTTAGCTCTGAGGACATATTTTCATTATTATGTTAGTACTATATATACAACTTATTCCTACCCTACGATTTAAATACATGAAGGAATTAAATTAAATTTTTCACAAGGATCTAAATGAGCCAGTAAAGTCTTACAAACAGTCTTCCTGTTTCCATGGGTAAAATAATTTATAAAACTGGAAAATATTTTCAACACATATCTTCGCCTAATCCCTAGATCCAAACCCTAGACCAAGATGGCATAAATTTTATTAAGTATGATAGGTTATAGTTGCATATTGAAATTCTACAAACAGTTTACTCCATAGAGCTAAGAGTTGTTTTATAAAACATGATCAAACCAATAGGTTGCTCGAAGAAGTCCTCGAGAAAAAAGTATTACAGTGCTTAAAACACATAAGATTTTGTAAATTTTACTGCCGATATAGGTCAAGATTGTTAAAGTGACACTGTGACGGAAAAAGGGGAAAACTGACAAAAGTAGAATTTATTGATGACACATGCAAATTTTGTTCAATTCTTGAAGATATTAGGTTTCAGAAAATTACAGGTTTCAGAACCTAAAAAGTCTACTTTTTTGGAGAAAAATAAAAGTAAAAATAATTTTAGTTTGCCCCAACACAAAAATATTGCTCCACTTCTTCCTTTTTATTGTACGCATGCGCAGAAAATTTGAAGAATTTACCGTGGTGTCCATTCCATAGATATAAATGTCGGATGACCGAGGATTTTGATGCAATCTTCAATAAAGATGATCAGAACTTATTCCTCACTTTTGTTTGCTCTAATTCAATATTGTTTACAAGTTTCACACTAAAAATAAATGTCGCGTGACCTTGACATTGTTGACATTGACGATAACAACAAAGCGGTAGATACAACCTTTGTTTTTCCGGCACTGACATTTTGCAGTTCTTTTCTTGCTTTACAGTGCAGTTCAGATGTCAAAACTTCGCTTTAGTCATATTTCACATAAATCTTTTTTGCTTTATGATACAATTATCTTAAAAGAAACACATGATTTTGACTCATTATGTAACTTTAAGGCAGAGCGGAAAAAACAGAATGCTTTTGATATTTTAATACCACTACAAGCAGGAAGCGTAATACCAGACAGGTATAGAATAAAGGTGAATGTCATACGTGGAGACACGTTTTAAATAAATCAATAGGACATCCGCCATTACTGTCTTAAGTCAGGTAATATTTTTGGATCAATTTATATTTTGCTTAGAGTTCTTAATTTAAGAAAAACATCATCGAGATTCAAATAAACACGACGTCATTATAATGTTAAATGTACCTGTGTTTTACCTCCGCTCGAGGCAAACGAAACATGATGTATAAATTTGAACTTCAATAATATTTATACCTACTTATATATTGCAGTTTAGATATTATATCGTGCGTCATCCGTTAACATTTGAACATTTTCAGCTTCTTTTCTGGACCTGCTGAGCCAAATTTTGCATTTTATCATTTAAGAGTGAAGGGGAACAAAAATTGTAAATTTCTTGCTGCCTCCGCAGGAGGGGGGGGGGGCTAAACCAATAAAAATGAAGACAGTCTTTATTTCTTTTTTATTTATTCTTGGACATCAAGCGGTTAAACTGTTGGCATGATTGCAATAAGCAATGAGCCCTCTACCAAAATTGCGAAATCCATTACCCTTTGACCAGAAGTTCTGGAGTTAAGGCGGGGCTCTGCTTATTATATATTTAGAGAAAATGTTTTCAAGTTCATTCTTCGGAAATCTTCTTCTCTGCTCCTGGGTATAAATCAAACAAATAAAATGCATGGTTATGATGTGCAAGAGTGCCTCTTCTAAAATTGTGAAAATTATGCTCAGGGGTTTTGCAGGAGGGGGGCTCTATTGATTATACAAATAATATGCATAATTTCGTCGAAAATCTTCTCTGCTCCTGGGTATTAAGCAAACAAATTATGTGCATTGTTATGAAGAGCAAGGATGCCACTTTCAAAATTGCCACTTTCATGGCCCCTAGGTCAGGTCTGGTGTAAGGACGGGACTATAATGATCATATAGTGAAAATGCATAAATTCTTTAAATATCCTCTCCCCTCCCTTGTATGTTTAGCAGCTAAACTAAGTGCATGGTAAAACTGTGAATTTTTAAGTCCCTGGGTTAGGGGTCTGGTGTTAGGGTGTGGGTCTATTGAATATATAGTAACTCCTTACTAAGATAAACTAAGTGCATGATTATAACGAGTAGGGATGTTTTTTATCTGAAATTGTGAAATTTGTGACACAGGGTCAGGAATTCTGGTTTTAGGATGGGCTCTATTGATCTTAAATTCAGTTTTTCTTCTGTTCCCTTGTATATTTAGCAGACAAAGTAAGTCATGGTTATGATAAGCAAGAGTTCCTCTTCCAAATTGTGAAATTCAAGGCCCCTGGCTCAGGGGGTTCTAGCGTCAAGGTGGGGTTCTATTGATTATATAGTGAAAATGCATTATTTATTCAAAAACCGTCTATGCTCCGGTTGTATTATACTAAGATGACCGTTAAGGTCCATGGATCTCTTGTTATTGAATCTGTTACATCATCGATTTGCCGGTATATCATAACTGTTTGTCTGGGTGCACTCATATACTCGAAAAATACCGAATATAAGGAAAGACGATCAATTTTTTTCCTACCAAAAAAAAAAATCGGAACAAGATAAAATATCTTGATGGATAAGACTTAACAGACGAGGAACTTCAGGAAGAGACACGGATCTTTAAAATGCACATTCATGCATTTTATCATTGCACGTCAGCATTCTGAATGACATACCGACTCTTTCCTTATATTAATTTTAAAGAATCCACTAACTTTTTGGAAAACGTTTGTACAATCAAGGAAGCGTCTTTTTCACAACGTAAACCAAAAAAAAAAACTATTACGGTCCTTCTGATTTCAAGTTCAAATATCCCAATTGAAAGTAGATTTTGTAAAATTTGGATAGTAGGGCTCAATAAAATCATCAACATGATCATTGCTTGACCTTATAATCCATCTATAACATTAAATGAATTTCAAAAGGCCCAACCAAGCGTTCATTTATTTATGCACGTTCATGTACATGGACAATATGTCCCACTTCCACGCTGATATGGATAGTTTGGAATTCGGTCATCTTCAATTTCCTTATGTTAACACAGGTGACAAATTCTGTTTTCTCTTGCAATATTATACTCTCTACCATAAACAGTAACTTAATTTACAATGTTTGTTTTAAAATATAATTTGACAGATAACTGCAAAAAATAGACGGAGTAAGATACACATTGTATTCAGTTCGTAGTACTCAACAGTGATTTAATTTATATTATTAAAGAATTGCAATACAGGCTGGATATAGATGTGGTGTTTAAACAGAAAGTAAAACTTCACAAACTGACCAATTTCCCCCCACGATCTCACTCCGGAGAATCTAATTTAAAAAAAAAATTACCTCCGAATCTGTAAAAACGCTATAACATCAACATTCAGAGTTGTTCTTTTTTTTATATAAATTGTAAATTGAAGATGAAATTTTTCACATATTTTATTTTTTCGGTTAACTGATTACAGATTTTCTAACCGATTACCATCGTTCCGACCGAGTATCCGGTTAACCGGTTTCAAATTGCCATCCCTAATGGCTACCATTTGCGACTCTCTCGTAAGAGAGATAGAATCTCGAAACTTGCGTATTGCAAACTCAATGGTTAATAAATCTCCAAAATATTGAAACTTTTAGTTGTTTGTTTTTTAATTATAGACTACTTTTTAGCTATATATAATAAAAATTTGATATTTACCCCCCCCCCTCCCCTACCCGAGAAAAGGTAAATTTTTTAACCATGACTACGTATGATGCTTGCTCATTAGTAAAAAAATTATAAAAGTTATCTATGGTGTATTCTATTTCCAATAAACAGATCTACAGGCAAAACAACAAAAATAAAACACCATTGATAGAACAAATATAGAAAGAAAAAAAAGTTTGTTATTTAATTGTTGGTTTTCAATATCTTTTTGCTTAATTTTATCAAATTTCTTAATTTGAGACAATAGTAAACTCTCTAAGAGATTTTACTCTATTCGAGTCTTTCAGTTAATTTTCAGTTTCCTTTTTCAGATCCAAAGGTTAGTAAAATTATGGACCCCAAAACCAGTGCCCAGGATGTGATGCGATGTGAACTGTGTGAGACCGCTGTGGTACAAATGCACTGTGATACATGTCTTGTCAACCTGTGTAAGGCATGTGTGGGTGAACACGCTACAGCTGATCTTTCAACCCCCCACAAAATTGTTGACTTTAAGAACAAAAAATCTACTCCCCTCTACCCTGGATGTGTAACTCATGTCAAAGAACGATGTAAAATGTTCTGTAAACAATGTGGCATTCATCTTTGCACCAAGTGCCTTTCATCTGATCAACATCTAGGTCACAAATTATCGGAAATATCGCAAGTTCTGGATGAAACAAAGGACAACATCATCAAGGAACAAACTGAATTAAAAGGGACAATTTATCCAACCTACCAGGAAATTGCATCTGATGTACAAAACAGAATAAGTCAGTTAGAAAAGGAGTATGCGGATCTTTCAACAGCTATTACACAACAAAGAAAGGACTGGCACAGAAAAATTGACAAACTTGTCAATAAACTTGAAGCTGAAGTTGATAAGACGAAAAACACGCAGTTACATACTCTACAGAAACATCTGGATGAAATAAAGCAGGGCATGTCTGAAATCAGGAAGCAAATAAATTTACTTGAGGTTGCTTTGGACTCTCAAGACATTTCCGTACTTTTCAGTCTTAAATTCAATACAGAAGAATATAGAAAACTTCCACAAAGAATCTTACCTTCTGTACCCATATTCACACCAGAAAAATTCGTAGAAGATGAAGTTTTAAGATTGTTTGGAGCTTTATCAGTAGGTTCTCTGACGTCAGATGCACATGGCTATAGTATAAACATAACACAGAAATCACCAGAAGCTGGATCCTCTCCTTCAGTCAAACATTTCCTTGATGAGCCAGAGATTGTTACCACCATAGACACTGGGTATGAATTCCTTTACAAAGTGGTCTGTCTGAATGATGAAGAAATCTGGATAAGTAAAGATTGTGAGTACATGAGACTCATCAACATAAATGGGAAATCAGGATCCAAGACAATCAAATCTAAGTCTGGGGACGTGCCAAGGGACATAGCAGTGACAAAAAGTGGAGATCTAGTTTATACTGATTACAATGATAGAACTGTGAACATTGTGAAGAATGAGAAGATAGAGGAGGTGATCAGACTTCAGAACTGGCTACCTTGCAGTGTCTGTAGTACTTCCTCTGGAGATTTGCTAGTTATCTTGAAACATTGTGATGATTACATACCATCAAAAGTTGTCCGCTACAATAATTCCTCAGAAATACAAAGCATTCAGTTTGATGATGAAGGTAACCCACTCTATTCTGATGCATCTTGTATCTACATAACTGAGAACAGGAACCTGGATATCTGTGTGTCTGACTGTGCCACCCAAGCTGTAGTAGTGGTTAATAAGGCCGGGAAACTGAGATTCATATATATTGGACAAATTCCTGCTCCCAAAAACTTACCATTCTGTCCACGAGGAATCAGCACAGACAGTCAGAGTCACATCCTTACCGCTGATTCTTACAATCAATGTGTCCACATCCTAGACCAGGATGGACAGTTTCTCCGTTACATAATGTGTGGATTGTGTGATCCCAGGGGACTGTGTACAGACACAAATGATAATCTGTTTGTTGCTGAATTAATGCCAAGACTTGTGAAGAAAATAAAATATCTGCAGTAAAATATATCACCAATGTACGACGGTTGTCCAAAAAGTGCGTGGACAAAATAATGCTTAATTTTCTTAATAATGTCCGCAAGGCAAACCTGTACGATAATATCTTAAAATAGACCATGAGTTAGTAAATATATTTAAAAAAAAAAATAAAACAATGCACACTATTTTATGAACATTAAAGGTCTAAATACTTTGTATATGCAAGCTGCACGGCCCAGTCTGACGTAACGCTAATTTCATGATAACGTCAAAAATATCGATTTTGAATTTTTATGACGTGTTCAAGGACACGCGCTTATTTTCTTTATTATGCTAAACTGCCAAGTGTGTGAATAATATTTATGTATGGACCATAACTGATTTAATTTTTAAAATTCAAAACAATACACGATAATTTACGAGCGTCATCAATACGAACACTTCGTATATACAGGTTGCATAGCCCAGTCCGACGGCGCTAGATTTATAACAACTTATCATATACTTAGTAGTTAATACACCGATTCTGCACTGTGCGATACGGTTGACGTCACAATACCCCATATCAAGGACCGGTACGAAAATCCATATCACGTATCGGACCGGCGGGCAAAAATCCATATCAAACCGGAAGTAACGTTGGTTTAAAGTTTAAAAGTCAATTAACTTGATTTTATGTAAATTTACATGTAAAAGAATTCTTTACTAACATCTGTGGACTTAATTTGTTTTCAAAGACCTAAAATTTGCTTTATTAGATTTTAAAGAAAAAAGGTCATAAACATGCACTAAACATTCTTCAATGATTTTATGTGAACTCGCATATTAAGTATTTTAAATATATGATAAATAGAATACTACATACTGAAACCCATATCATATGATATGGATTTTAGTATGTAATATTCTTTATGTAATGAATAGGGATATCCTATTTTTCATCAAATAACAGTGGTTTTCCACTTCTTATAGTGTCTCCGAAATTTTACACACCGTTGAAAAATGGTATATACAAATTACAAATCAATGAACTAAATATATTCCAATAATTTCAAGTTGTTTGAATAAATATTTTGTGTCTGACTTCGTTTCAACCATTTTAAAACTTAATTGTATGATTAGACGCTGTTCCGTTCGGATGGCCGACGTCGCTTTTTCTGTCAATTTTTGAAACATACTTCTTGCAGTTTTCGATTAATATTCTCACTGTCTATTTAGTAAGCGATACTAAACATATCAGAAAATGACGATAGCCGCTTTATTTGCGACACATTCAATTTTTATTAAGCTTTGACTCGTTTTATAAAGAAAATGATCATTTTAATCGGAATACTTTATTTAAAAGTTTATGACATTTTAACCCTGGTCTGTGCTCAGTATCGGCGACCTTTAATGACCGCGATTTTTACAAAAATATTATGTTCAAACAATAAAAACCAAACTATTCTGACTTGGATTTTCATAACTAATATTTTGGTATAAAATAAGTATATCTTGAACCAATCATTTTGACAAAAAAACGTTATTGTCCACGAACTTTTTGGACAACCCTCGTATACACATGCAACATATTTTTCTGTAAAGAAGTTAAGATTTTAACTACATGTACGTGGCCAGAGTTAAATTACATGTATCAACAGTCAGGTGATTTTTTTTCTCTGAGGTCTGTCAGCTTCTTATAGCCCAGCACTAGAATTGTCTGGATCAAGGGCCAACTGGAATGAAAATAAGTCTGTTAAATATAAGTATACATGTATACAGTCATATAAAGCCACATCTACAGATGCTCTGCGTGATGAAAATCAATCTATCTATTCATTAACTATAAATAATTAGTGTACATTTAAATAGAAAAATACTTGTACAATTCTGATTGATTGCATACTTAGATAGGATCAACCTACTGTACATATATAAGCCTGGGTCAATCTATATGTAGAAATCTTAGATTTTAAAGTACTATCATTTGAATTTGAACTTTTCATGTTGTTGCATTTATTCAAGTAAATTTTTCACTGATTTTTATATTGTGTTTACATTAACAGTTATTCTTATTGTATCAGTACCTGTCCTTGTAGTTTCCTTCAATTCATCTTGTTTTATAACTGTATTTAAGTGTATAAAAAGATACATAAGGTTCTATAAATATAAATATATAAATATCGTTGTAGTTTTTTTTTAAAATTATAAATAAGTATTCAGGAAGCCATGATATAGTGGCCTGTAAGGGGTTATAAAAACAAAATCGTAAGCCAATATAACGTGCAGAGGAACAAAACCTGTTTGTTTAGGAAGCAGTAAAAAAATTAAGCATGAGAAAGAAGTATTGATATAAAGTAGACCCCTATATGAAAAAAAAACAACTTATTTTATACTTTACACAAATACAATGTAAAATATTTCCAAGATGCTATTAAGAACTTCCAAACATGGACGGGGCATAACAAATTTCTTTAAATAATCTTAAAATAACAAAGAAATTCAAGCATCAAGTTTTGGTTCACATTTCAAGGAATTCGCAAAAAATGTTTTTTTTTTCAAATTGAATTCATTTTGAAATAACTAACGCTGTAATCTAAGTTCACTGCTCCCTAATCTTTGAGTGAAATATAAATCTTTGGTTATTTTAGAGAGAGAGAGAGAGAGAGAGCCAGCCAGGTGTTGGATCTTGGATCCACCTACTTGTCGTTGGTCTCTTCATTGTTTGTTCGTCACGTTTTTTAGGGTAATAGAGAGAAAGGGGTGTATGAGAGAGAGGGAGAGAGAGAGAGGGAGTTGTGTTCATATACTAACCAAAACCTGTTTTTAAATTACCTGTCATACCCATCCATGCACGCTGTCAAGGTAGACGCATCTATCGTATAATACTGACATAGGGTGATGTAGGCTGGTAAGCTTTTTATCTATTTATTATTATATTAATAATTTCATAGTTTTCAGTTATGATTTAAGCAATTAATTTATACGTAAAATTGATATTGTAATATTAACGGATATTTAAAGTAATTGAACTGCGTGTAAAGTATAAATGTAAAGTATGTTGTGTGAATGTTGTAGGTTTGATCCATAATATAATTTACCAAAACCTAAGATCTGTTTGTCTGAATTTCTACCGACAGGTTTCACCCACACCCACACAGATAGATAGATAGATAGATAGATAGATAGCACTAAAAGACCAACAACACTGCATATCCTAAGTGTTGGATCTACTAAGTAGATACAAGGTCACGGATGGAAATTTATACTAAAAATGACCAACGACACGAACGATAAAAATTGTCAAATTTTCGGGACGCCCTGTCCCTTTCTCAGGACAAAGAAAAAAGTTAAGAAGTCATAAAAACAAAGGAAACAAATAATAAAAAAAACAACTAGCACTACTACTAAACTACCAAACACTATGTATTTACAATGTTACATGTTTAAGTTGAAGTTTATAACCAATGGTAAAGAACGAAATCCGGACCGCTATGAAATACGTCCAGTCTGTTGGGTGTACACTGGTGAAGTATTACACTATAAACTGTAAAAGTACTATTTAAGCTTCTGAATGTCTAGAGGTTCTTTGAGGCTGGTACTATACACTCACTAGTAATGATGTGTTGACAGTCACCCTGGTGCATGTAAATGTAGGGTTGTCCAAGTCTTAGGGTCAGGTTCAGGAATGATGTGTCTTCCATGGAAGATGTCTGTATGGGTCCTATTTCCCTGGCTGGGTCCTTGGCCAAGTCACGAATCACTCTGAAACAGTCAAGTTTTAATATAAATCTCTTAAGTTGGATCGAGGAACTGTGCTTTCCCTACCACCCTCACTAGCAAAAAGAAAAAATATAAGAAGAAAAGAAAAAAAAGACATTATTTGATGACTTTTATATTCAAACTTAATGCTAAATCTCATTATTATCTTAAGTTATTTAATTTGCCGTTTGAAAATCTGAATTTTGTATGGTACATTGTAATTCTACCAGTTTCATCTTTTCTTGCCCAGTGGTTTTTGAAAAGAAGATTTTTAAAAGATGCCACCAAATTTTCACGAATTCTTGATTATGCCCCCTTGAAAGAGGGCATGGCACTATCTAAGTTGAACAAACTTAAATCCCCTTCACCCAAGGATGCTATAATAATAATAACTAGAAACTCGTTGCGAGCACGAGAGGTCTTCCGTCCGAATAACCATTCTTATATTAAGTGATATTTTTTGCACGTAAAATTACATTTATATGGGCTTGTGGTAAAGATCACCTATAAATATATATTTAAAAAAATACCAGGATATTAAAGATTTTTTTATTTATAAAAAAAATTGAATCAGTGGAGAATTTAGACAGAAAAAAAGTCAAACATCAATTATAAAGATGAAAATGTAAATTTAGGCTAAAAAATGAAAACAAAAATCGGATATAGTCGGGATTGAACCCAGATCGCATGCGTGAAAAACTAATATGGAAACCACTTTACCAGTGCAATGTAAACCAACCATCATTGATGTGTTTATTTGCACTCATTGCCCGAAGTAAAGAGCCCCAGGCAGGTTAATGTTTTCATAGTACGGAACTATAAATTTAAGTTAGCTAACCAGCCAAAATTTGTGCAAGCAGATTCACATCGGAATTTGTTACCTGAGTTTTAACAGTAACTGTTAGTAGAAGAAATAATCTGTTATTGATGAAAACTATTGATGTGTTACTTCTTTTATTTTTTATGCATTCAATTTTTTATTCCATTCAATTCCAAACAGACATGTCCGTGTAATCCTTTTCTGTACTTTTATACTACTGCATCAATCCATTTGTCTAATATGAAAGGCTGGACACGATACATTATTTCGAGCCAAATATCAAGAGTAAATCTTTGCGCGTTTTTGGTGTCAAGCTCGGCTGTCTCCGTAAACTCCGACCTGCTCGTTGGAGTTTACGAAGATAGTCGCCATTTTGTACCACCGTTTCAAATTTAGAAATCAGAATATCAAAACTATTGATGTTTTTACTTCCTTTATTTTTTTATGCATTCCTTTTTTTATT